CTAAAAAAAAAAAAATAGGAGAAAATTAAAAAATACTAAAGTTTTTAAAGTAACAAATAAGCAAATAAAAACGTACCCGCGATACACTAAATACATTAACTTTTTTTTAATTGAAAATTATTTCAAATTTAGAAGAAACAAATAAATAATGAATATTGAAGAATATATTTCATGCATTTATTGCGTCATATGTATGGTTAGCTAAATTTGGTTCCACGTTCGAAAAAATAACTTAACTAGATGGGAAACATACCTTTTAATAAAAATAAATTTTTTTTTTCTACAAGTGTAAGCAAAAAAAAAAAAGTTTTATAAAATGTTTCATAAAATTAATTTTGCAAGAAGCTTTATTTGACCGAATTTGTATTTTTTTAACTAAAGTCGGTCACGATTATAATCAATCAGAAAAATAATTAAAACAAGAAAGAGCTTGTCATTGGATGAAAAACAAAAAAGGAGGAGGAACGAATTTACATCATAAAACTAAAAATAGATCTCTCTGTTACATAATTTTAGAATAAGGAAATAAACACATGATAATTAATTACTGTTTTATTTATTATTGACCGACGTAAGCGGAATATTACCCTTTTTTAGTTTTTACCAAATAACCTCAAATAATAAAATACTCTATTTTTAAAAGTTTAAAAAGTTTAAAAATAAATATTCAAAGCTAGTTTTTTATTTAAAAACTAAGGAAGCTTTAAATTAGTACGATATTTCTTAACACTTTTTTGTTTAAATAAACTTAAAGTGACTGGCTTAAAATAGTGACCAAAAATACTCATGTGGTGGTTTTCATTATCATAAGTTCATAAGTTTTTTCATTATCATAAGTTCAGATTTTATATAAATGTTTGTGTTTATGCAAACTTGGGTTGTTAAATGATTTTCTTTTACGCTTTATTTTTTATTAATTTAGGCACTCCAAGAAGGCCTTACGGTCTTATCACAGAGCATCGTGGAAGAGCATTTAGCTAAAAAGTTCACACATTCTTCCTTACCAATGGCGCAAAATACGCCAAGTACTTTGCTCATTGTCTACACAGATTAAAAATTCTTTATTTTTATTATTATTTTTATTCTTCAAGAATAAAACCTTGTGAAACACTACAGATTATATTTAGGGATTAGCTTTAATGACCGTCATTTATATATACATCATAAATACGGTTTGATAAATTACTTCCAAGCCATTTGAAACGATGGTATTTAATTTTTTGTTTTAAAATATAACGATTGATTGTATCAAGATTTTTGACAAGTCAATAAAAACAATAAAACAATGTTGTTAAAAATATGATGAAAACTCTGTCATAATATAAAAATATGTAAAAATATGTAAAACTCCGTCATAGTATTAAGAATAAAAGCTTTCCTAAACATTTACATTGAGTTAATTAAAGTAAATATTAAGAACTATAATTCTATAAATTGTTATTCAAATAAACACTTTGTATAAATTTTTGTTAAATGCAAAGATTTTTTGTATTTTAGTATTTTCAAAGAAATATTTTAACCTATTTTATTCTAATTTTTGTACTTGAATCTGAAGAATAAGTGAAGAGTAGTATTCAGGGCTGCCAAGAGCCGTCACGCCGCCTGGGAAAGCAACCTTGATTGGCACCCTTATTTATCAATATTTCTCTATATTATAGATATATTTTTTTAGGTATCTTCTTTTTATTTGGCGACCCTTGGTTATTTGCCGACCTAGACAAACTATCCTTTTTGCCCCCCCCCCTCCTTTTCTTGGTGGTAGTAATCTAAAGATGTTGAAATTAAAAGCTTTAACTGAATTATTGGATTCTAAATACATTTTGAAGTGATTATTTTGATTGCTATTTTAAGAAAGTTGTTTACTGTAAACAACTAGTAGAAAGCTTATCAGTTAGTTATTGGTTAGCAAGCTAGGAACATTTGTTAAGTAAATATCAGTGATTAACCAAACCAATACCAAACAACTAGAAACAAAAAAGTAATTTCATTAGTGTCACTGGGAAGCGTTTAATAATTGCCCACAACGGAATAAGCTTGCGATCTTTAAACCAGTGATTTAAAGATCGCAAGCTTATTCCGTTGTGGGGAATAATTAAACGTTTCCCAGTGACACTAATGAAATCACTTCTTTGTTTCTAGTTGTGGTTTATCCTCCTTCGGCTAATTGCCATATAGAGACCACATTACCAAGGCCCGCAAAGACAGGTTCGGCTCCCAAGGAGAGTCATAACCCGCTCTAGGGACCAAGAGTAAAGTGAGTTTAGGAAGAACGAAGATATGTTAGAGTGAAAGACAGAAGTAGTCGTGTTAGAAAGATAGCATAGAGAAAGCAGACAGGATTGCACTCGATGTTAGGAGGTGCAAAAGGTTTATTTATAGTTGTTTTATTTACATATGACTGCGAATCTATTATTTACAAATATCATCCCTTTTTAATATAAAATTCACAACCACAAAATATTATATTATTAACTTTAAAATTACGTTGGCGTAATTTTCCAATATCTTTAAGAAGACCGCATAATTAAAAATATATTAATATTTATATTAAAATACAACCGCTGATTTTTGCTACTTATCTTGGAAGAAGTAATCCACAACTTTAATATATATATACTACAATACAACTGCGTTACAATAACTCTCTATATACTACAATACAACTACTCTACAATAACTCTCTGCAAAAAATCTTCAAATTTATATCAATCCTACTTTAATAAAGTTACTCAATAAAATAAAGTTATGTTTATTTGATCTTAGTTATATATTTGGGGCCGTTTTAACAATTTTTGATACATTAAAGTAAATTTTGAATATTTTATTTGACATTATTATGTTCACTGGTGTTCAACAGTAATGCAGTATCCAAGTTCTAATATTTAAGCTTATAGAGTAAAGGTTATTTTAGTATATAATGTTAAATAGTATTGAATAATGGTTTAAAAATAAAAATAAAACACATGCTTTAAACATTACGACGGGGGTGGTTGGGATTATGGCACGTTGGCCATATGTTTAAACCAATCCTCAACAATTTTGTTTTTGTTAAATAGCTTGTTTTAATTTCTGATAATAAAATATCTTGTGTTTTAAAATATTTTAAAAATAAAAAACAAGCAGAAGTAAATAATAAGACTTAAATAAAAATTTAAATTTTTCGTTTTTAATATTCAGCCAATCAGACATAACCCTAACAAAATTAATTTAAAATGTATTAAAAACCAATTATGAACTTTTAATAATGTTACATGTATGTAGTCTAGGGTCTTGTCAACCTTTTTCAATGAAAAAATAAAACTTGAAAAGCTAAAAAATTGCATATCAAAGAAAAAAAGAGCAGGCAAACATTCCAAATTTTAACGATTTAAGTAGTTCTTCTAATATTCTATATTCTACCTAATTTGCTAATAATAAAAACTTTTTTTATCCCCATAATGATATAGAAACTTTGTTTTAAACGGTCAACATCAAACTTCTAAAAATAACTGAATTGTTAAACGCAAATAAACTGTCTATCAATTTAAGTAAAACAAACTTTTTTTTCATCGCATTTATAAAAGAGATAAAAATACTCGCAAAACCTTTTGGTAATGATCGCATCGTAAAAAGGAAATGCTCAATTAAGTTTTTAGGAGAAATTTTCGATGAAATCATAACTTGGAAAGATCACATAAGCATGATTGAAAACAAAATTTCTAAAAACATAGGTTTATTTTATAAAGCAAAAGCTTTCTTAGATCAGGTATGCCTAAAACATATGTATATTACTCATTTATTCATTCCTACCTTAATTATGTAATTGTATAACTTAATTATGTAACTATTGCTTGATGCAGCAACAATATAATTAAGACAAAAAAACTATTCAATAAACAAATACCTTACCAAATATTCGGGTAATAACTATTTTCAACCCAAAACTATATATAATTCAACAAAATTCTCAATAACTATTAGAAGACCTAGTGTGTACAAAATTAGATGATTAGTAACGATATGAGAGGACCTAGTGTGTGCAAAATAAGATGATTAGTAACGATATTAGAGGACATAATATGTATGAAAGTAAAGATGATCAGTAACGATATTAAAGCAATTACAACTCTTAATTAATTTAAATAAAAACTATTACTTTTGAATAATAAGAAAATAAAAGATTATTTCTAATTTATTTATGAAGTGATCATTATCAAGCTTACTGTCAGATAATTGTAAGTTTGCATTTCTTTTTCTCTTCTACAAATATCTATATAGTTGCTGCTCGAGCGAGCTTTTATCTTTTTTTGAGTTAACCAAGACTCAACCTTGTGTGATTTATCCAGTAGAAGCGCATCTTTTTAGTGTAACTATTCAATCGTGTTTAAATATCTTTTATTCATCTAGTTTTTTCACTCAAACATCAATGCTTTAAAACTCTTTTTCTTCTTTTTTTTTTTTAACTTATACAATTTACACCTTTTTAAATGTTAACTTTTTCTTTGTACTTTAAATGGCTACTTTGCTCTCTGTTAACAGTTTTCTTGTCTTTTAAATCGTTCTTTTGTTTTTTACTAATTCGTAACTTATATCGTTGCCATGGCCTACTTTATTTATAATCTTGTTGGGAGACAAAATATGAATATATTACAATACTATATATAATAATTGTTAGCATTTTAACAATTATTTATATAATTTTCATTATTTTAATTATTAATAATCATCGCGCTAGGACTTTAATACTCTAATTTTCTATGCGCATACAATGGTCAAACTCTTGGTGCTTATATAAGATAGTTTGAGTCTATAATAAGACATACTTTCTAAAGAGAAGTATTTAATGACATCTAACTTTAGAAAATTTACATATTTTACCAAATTAGGATTTATTATTTATTTTATAAACTAAAACTATTACATTTAAAAAAAAATAATAATAAAAGATCATACCAGTTTATTCAAAAAAATATGTAACTGTCTTAGAAAAATGTTGATTTAAAATATATTTTTGCTTTGCT